CCGGCGGCCACCGGGACGGCGCTCACCTCGTCGGGGTCCAGCACCGAGGTCTCGTAGATGAGCCCCTTCATGCCCCGCATGCCGCCGTACACCTGCGGGCAGAGGGAGGCGTCAGCGGTGCCGGTGGCCGCGCGGTGCCCGCGGCGCCCGCGGTGCTCACCATGTCCACCGTGATGTTCCCGATGGCCGTGCTGCCGTGCTGCTGCCGGAAGCTCTTGATCTTGGCCTGCTCCTTGGGGATCAGCTCGGCCAGGACGTCCTTGAGGTTCTACAAGGCACGGGGTGGGAAAACCACGGGAAAACCGTGAGAAAACGGTGGGAGAACAAGGGTGGCGGCGGCTCGGGGCGCCCGCGCGCGGGCCCGCTCTTACCGTGGCGGCGCTGGCGTGCCGGGCGGCGAAGAGGACGCAGGGCGCGGGCTGCGGGAGGAGCGCGCGGGGCCGTGAGCCGGCGCCGTCCCGCTCCGCGTTCCCGACTCCGCGCGGCATTCCCGGCGCGCGGAGCGCCCGGCGGGCGGGGCGCCAGCGGCAGCAGCCCGTGCCCCCCCCTTGGCAAGGACACGGCGTCCTGCAACCGGAGCCCTCCCCGCAGCGCCGTGAAACCCAAACCGGTTCCGCCGGCTGCAGGGGGAGGGGAAGCGCCCGGCGGCTCCGTCCCGGGGTGGGAAGCGGCTGCCCCGGCCCGGCCCGGCGCGATTCCCGCCGCGGGAAGGGAGGGAGCCCCGCGGATCTTTGCTGCGGCTCCGGGCGCCGCTGGCGGCCGCGCAGGAACCTGACGCGGTTTTTCCATCGGAGCGGGGAGGGGAAGGGGGGGACACACACTGCACTGAGGCCTCTATCCCATGGGAAGGCAATGGCACTGGGCACCCCCTCCCGTGGGAATACCGACACCCCCCCCCCCAATCCTATGGGAACACCGTGGCACCAAGCCCCCATCCATGGGAATGCCGAGCCCCCCATCCCAAGGGAATGTCACGGCACCAAGTCGCCCACCCCATGGGAACACTGAGCTCCCATCCCACCGGAATGCCACAGCTCCGAGCCCCCCATCCCACAGGCGCACCACAGCCCCGAGCCCCCCAATCCCACGGGAATGTCCCAGCCCCGAGGACCCAATCCCATGGGAATGTCACAGCCCCAAGCCCCCCCATCCCACAGGAATGCCCCAGCAGCAAGCCCCCATCCCACGGGAACATCGGGGCTCGGAGCGCCCCGTCCCGCGGGATCCTGAGCCCCCCCCGGGGCTCCGACAGCCGTTGGGAAGCGGCAGCCCCGGAAGAGGCCGCGTCCCGCCCGAGCCCAAGGTCGCGGGCGCTGCCGCCCGGGGTCGCTCCGGCTGCGGCTCCGGAGGCTCCGGAGGTGCCGCGAGGCCGCGGCCACGGTCAAGGTCACGGGCGGGGCGGGGGGGCGCCGGTGCAGCCGGGCGCCGCCGGGGATTATCCGGCCAAGCCGCCGGTTCCGGGCGGCCCAGGCGGGCGCCGAGGGGCTCCCGGGCCGGCCGGAGCCCCGGACCCCGCGGCGGCCGAGGGCAGCGGCCCCGCGACAGCACCGGGGCCGGGACGGGGGCCCCGTGCAGAGACCCCCCCATCCCCCCGGAGCCGCATCCGCCTTTCCCCCAAATCCCGCGGCTGGGGGGGGCCTTGGGGGGGGGGTTCTTGGGGGGGTGGGGGCTGCCCCCCGCATGGGAGGGGGCACGAGGTGGGGATCCCCCCCCGGGACAGCGGGTGCAAATGCCCCCACCGGGCACATTGCAAAGAGGGGGTGCAGAGTGCGGGGCCTGAGCGCCCCGGGGGGGCTGCAGCAGGGAGGGGACCCCCCCCCAGCCCTTACAACGGGCCCAAAAACGGGGCCCCCAGCTCGCTCCCCCCTCCCCGGGATCGGGAGGGGGGACAGGACCCGAATGGGGCCCGGGGGGGACCCCCGGCCCCCCAAGATGAAGGGGGCTGCGGACGCCGCCCCGAGCCCCCCCCAGCCGCG